TTTCTAGTATTGACCTTACTTTCATTTTCTACTTCACATTTGGAGTTGGTCAGTCTTTGTAGGTAAAGTTTTGAGGTTGTTCATGCCTTTAAGACTAATGTTACCTTTTCACTCCGAGGTCACCTCTTCGCTTTGCATTAATGGCCCTTTTGACTAGGCATATGGCTCGTAACCGAGTCTCACTTGCGAATTCCATACTAGATCTTGGAGTTGAGTCTTAAGTGTTTGCCTTGATTGTTGTAGGAGGTGCTGACGATTAAAGCCACACTTGGGAAGGAAACTTTTGAAGTTATCCTTATTTGAACTGGTGAGTGTACCACTCCCCTCACTTGTGTTTAACTCGGTCTCTGTACATGCAATCTATGACATGAACGATTGAACTATCTGTTTATTTTGTTTGAGACGAGGGTGTACTTTATCACACTCGTTCTCTTGTCTGTTCATATGCCAATTTTGATGCGAATCTGAAACTGTTATCTGTATCTGTATCTGTATCTGTTATCTGTATCTGTATCTGTATCTGTTCTGACGTTGTTTGGAGGCTTGTATCCAACGACCTTTCTGTAACCTCTGAGCTCAACACCTGTGGCTAGTTACTCGAGTCGGGCCGGCAAGGGTCTGGTCAATTAGATAACAAATCACGGTAGTCTGTTTTGGGATCTTTGGGTATTGAGACCCTTGATTCCGGTATACTCGAGTATTACCATTTCTGAACTGATTGGATTTCGGGTCTGGTAGGGGTATGTTAGGTGGAAGGAATCGGAGAAAGTGGAGCCTACGGTATTGGTTACTTCTTTAACGTTGACGGAGTGTCAACTATTATTTCGATCAAGTTTCGGTGAAGCAAATGGGAATTTGGCTCCTGAGAGCCACCTGTATCCTTCATATTGTGGTGTTCATTTATTTCTCGTATTTGATGTGAATAAGTGCCTTAAAAGTGATTTCTCATGATTTCTACTATTTATAATTTTGGTACCTCATTGAGCTTCTAGCTCACCCCGTCCCGTTATTTTTTTGTTTTCCTTACAGGGAACAATACTTTTGAACCATGATTTTGAAGAAAGAAGTAGAGCGAGCTCTAGTTATTCTTTTGTATAGCACCTCTGTATTTGAAACCCTAATTGTACTTTGATCCCTCGTGAATATTCCAACTTGTATTGCTTGTTAAACTTTTAAACCTTTCAGTGTTTGTATTTATTAAAGAGATTAACCATGTCAATTAAGTGTACTTGTTGAGATGGTACTTTTACTTGGCTGGATGAACACTTCTGGTGTCCGTATGGTTTGGTAAGTTTTATTTTGGCTTGGTGGTCTCCAATTGCTTGTTTTCTTTGGATTCCGGTGCGCGGTTGTAGGGTTTTAAGTGATTTGACTCCGTAGTCCTGGCGAGAACTGGGCAGGCGGTCCGCCGAACCCTTTGGCTCGCCTTAGGGTGAGGTGGGATTGTCACAGATTTTGAGTTAGGGTTTGTATGGTTCAGTTATATTCATTGTTGTTTAGAGAGCATATGATGTCTATAATCTTATATAGGTAGTTGAAGTAGTAGTTCAAGCTAGAAATGTGAAGGTTAGACCGTGAATGCACTAAATTCCAGATTTAAGGAGTGAAACTGCCCTGTTCTGACCAGCTTTATTTGTGTATGTTAGAGGCTGAATTAGGCTTAGGTTAAAACATAAAAGTTGTAGAAAATTGTGTTTTATAGCTGCCTGTAAAATTTCAGCTCGATCAGAGTACTATAGCATATGAAATGATCGAAATACATGTGACTGCCAAAAACCTCATTTTGCGGACATTTTTGAGATTTCAAATGTTTGGCTTCTTTTTTTCACTTTGATCCGTATCAAATCAGCCTTTGACCAAAACATGAAAGTTTTAACCCTATGTTTCAGCTTTCCAACGCATTTAAAACTGCCTCAAACGGAATTGTGTAGCCTGAGTTATTGCCATTTGCATTCAGTACTGACAACCATACTGACAAGGAAATTCTTGTTCTGTATTTTGCAAATTCGACCTAGATCAATTGTGAACTGGGTTAGATTGTCTTCATGAAAGTTGTGGCCCTTTGTCTTAGCTTAGAAGTGGTATAAAATTCATTCCAATCCAATAAGTGTAGCGTCGGTTGTGACCGAAATGCTAAGGGACGTCAAATCTGCTGTTTAGTTTTTGTCTTCAAAACTGCTTTCCGATTGCCTTAGTTGACTTGTGTTATAATTGGATGATGTTGGAGTCTAACTGATGGGCTATGTTGGTAACATTACTTATGTCTATTTTGGGGCTGAATTGAGAAAAATAATAAAGTCATAAATGGTTAGAAACTAGGTAAACACAAAGGGCGTGCTGTCCAAATTTTCACTCGAAAGTTAGGTAGATTTACTCATGACTTGAGTAAGCATTTGAGGACGAATCGAACTTGAATCGTTTAGGGTATTCAAGTCTTGTTTCATAGAGATCTATAAATTAGCATTCAGCCGAAACTTATACCCTTGGAAAAATGAAATTTACGACCAATAAAACTACGTTTTTCCCATTTCTTCGACTCACATGATATTTCAAAGTACAATTGCTTCAAAGTTTCATAGTTTGAAGAGTGAGCAAGAGTTTTACGAATATTCTCTAAATAAGTTTCAATTACTTGATTCTCGTTAAATGAAACGTTTAAGTTTCGAACCTTAATTAATTTTCACAGCTCTTAAACAATGTTTTCTCGCAGATTTGGACTCCAAACACGGAGTAATACCCAAACGTGACCCGTAGAGGCACTACATTTTTTGGTGAGTGCTTCCAAATACCTGATTGCACTTGACACTTGTATTTAATACTTGAACAATGTGATTACATGATATATGAGTGGATTGATAGGGCAAGCGTGTACTTTATCGTACTTGCCCTAATGTGATTTGTTCTTGGTCATTGATTTCACTTGAATTGATATACATGCATATGAATTATATCTTGTTTGGAATTCCAAAAAATCCTGTGGCTAGTTAGTCAAGTTGAGCCGGCAAGGGTTTGGTCGATTTGATAACGAACCCTGGGTAGTTAGTGATGTCGAGTGGAGTGTTATCTTCTCGACTAATCGGTATACTCGAGTATTACCACCAGTGTTTATTGTGGAGTTCAGGTCCGGCAAGGGGTTTGGCTGGTGGAAGGAGATTGGAGTTAAGTGGCATACTACTAGACTAGTTACCTTACTTGAAAATTGACGGAGTGCCAACTACTACTTGATCAAGCTGCAAAGGCAATTGTATCCATTTATGTGGATTACGGAATGTGAAATATTGGCTATCCAAAGTATATGGCTCATTTTCTTGACTTGTTATACTCGCTATTTCACTATTATGATATATTCACTGTTCATTAATGGTCAATTTGCTATTTGGAACATCACTGAACTTTAGCTCACTCCGTTAGTTTTGTTTTCCTTATAGGGGATACGAGCGAGACGTGAGACGTGTACAGACTAGCGTAGTTTAGTTGTTTTGAATTTTGACTTGTACTCGCGCTAGCACCCGACTAGGGTTGTTTGTACTTGAATTGTAATCACTTTAAAGTATTTTGGTGTGTAGAAGATTTGTATCTGGGTTTGTGCATCAATGTATATAATAAGTTTGATTTGTTGTGTTATTTATTTTTCTATGGATGTAAGTTAAATTCTCGAGATACGAGTGAGTGAATCCTAACGAGAGTTAGGTAGGCAGCTCGCTAAACCCTAGGGTACGTCCTAAGGGGAGGTGGGGTCGTCACAGGTGGTATCAGAGCCTAAGTTTAAATTAATCTGGGTAGATTGAGTGATTTATACCTGATATTCCTTGGTTATGATAGGCTAGGGTTTCACACTTGAGAATAGGCCTGTAGCCTTGATATATATGTCTAACTTGTTTATTCTTGCAATGTTACTTGTAACGTAGGTTATGGAGGGGCAAGATGCTACTGGGGGTGTCAGGCCATCTCAGCCTGTACCTACCGACCAGGTGCATCTTGTGGGGCCTGTATGTCGTGCACTTACCTACCAGGAGAGTCCCAGTGGACCCGTATGTCGGTGGTCTCCGGCGCGCAAGATTCGACATTGCAACTGCTCGAAAACCTACTCCTACCCCAATAGGGTAGTACTTGCCGTGGAGGAAGAGAGAAGACGGTTGGGTAGTGCCAGTCGAAGGCATCAGACGGAGAAAGAGCATCTCCAGGCAGCCCTCCGAGTACAGAGTGCCAGGATCCGAGAGCTTGAGACTTCAGTTCTTGAGGAGCAGGAGCGGACTAATGCCTTCAGGGAGTAGGCTCAGGCGGTTACTGGTCGCCTTGTTCGAGTAGTTGGAGATGTCAGAGACCGGACCGATTGTATCTTGATTGAGTGCGGGACCCTAGTGGAGGATGTGGCTCAGAACTTGGCCGAGAAGGGTCAAGGACCTGCTGTCCCCAGTGACCCCGAGGAGACTCCTAAGGAGGATCCCGCGGAGAATCCTGAGGAGGACCCGGAGGAGAAGTCGGTTGGGTCGGCATTCACCTAGATTCCTAGTTTAGGGTTTGAGAGTTTTGTATAAGGTAGCTAGGGACATAGTGGGATGACACGTTCCCTTTTGTCTTTGAATTTGACGTGTTAAGGTGGATGTAAATAGGGTTTGTTTTGTTCTATGTCCCTTGGCTAGTATAAGCCTTTGACTTGATTAGGTTGGCATGTATAGTATTTTCTAACTTGTTATGTGACTCATTTTGCTATGTATGTTAACGAAATGTTTATTTTGAATGTGATTTATTGCCTCTACTTTATGATTAGGAAACAGTTTACTTGAGCTATACCTTATTTTGTTTACATTTATATAGTTGGTTAGTCAAGAAGCATGGAAGGTAGAAGAAATCAGGATCAGGGAGCTACTCGTGGGCGTGGGGGTAGACAGGCATAAGAACTGGTGCAAGAACCGAGAGGGGAAAGAGGTGAAACAGTTGGATTGAAACCTGGACCCTGAGCGGAAGGGAGCGACCAGGTGGCAACTACAATTCAACAGATGACCAATATTCTTACTCGTTTAGTAGAGCAACAGTGTCAATCTCCTGTGAATCAACCTAAGGATCCAGAAATGGGGCAACATAGGGCCCTAAAGAGATTCCAAAAATTCTCTCCTCCTAAATTTCTGGGAGGACCGGACCCAAAGGTAGCAAAGAGGTGGTTAGAAACAATGATCAATATCTTCGCTGCTTTAAACTATGCAGAGGAGAGACAAATGCAGTTTGCTACCTTCCAGTTTGAGGGATCAGTCAAGGCCTGGTGGAACGTAGTTCGAGCTAAGTGGGAGAGAGAGGGAACCGCATGGACTTGGTTAAATTTCATGAGAGAATTTAACGAGAAATATCTCCCACCTATCGTTCAGGAGAAGAGAGATGACGATTTATTAAGTTTCGTCAGGGCACCCTAAGTGTAGCTGAGTATAAGATTCAATTCACGAAACTATCCAAATTTGCTCCTGAATTGATAGTTACGGAGCAAAGGAGGATAAAGAAGTTTGTGCAGGGCCTTAATGTAGAAATACAGGAGGATTTGGCGGTAGCCCAAATCAACACTTGTACGGAGATCTTGGAAAAGGCTCAGAAAATAGAAATCGCCAGAGCACAAATAAGGAATTTTCATGCCAAACGGAGAGGTGTACCTGGCGGAAGTCAAGGGCCGGCACAGAGTGATCGAAACATGCCCTTCCCTAAAATCGATCGTGGAGCTGGAGGTGGAAGGTTTACGAGTACATCCAGAGGAGGTACTTCGAGGGGACCCCAAAGTGGAAGGGAACAAGGGAGAGGCGTCCCACAGGGAGGCCAGACATCCGCCCCCCGAGTATCATGTGGGTATTGTGAGAAGTCGAACCATACTGAGAACAATTGCTGGAGAAAAGCTCGAAAATGTTTAAGGTGTGGAAGTACGGAGCATCAGATTGCTAACTGCCCACTAATTAATGATGCACAGTTGGCTGGCCAATCGATCTTCAATCTATTGGGATGAAGTAGGAGAGAGGAAGATTATAGATCCGTTCACAATACCATGGGTTAAGGAAGCCTACAAAAAGGTAAAGGTGATTCGTCAAAGGCTTCAAACGGCCCAAAGTTGACAAAAGAGCTATGCCGATCGTTGGAGGAAGGAGTTGGAGTTTGAGATAGGGGATAAAGTGTTTTTTAGGGTTACTCCATTGAAAGGAAAAATTAAAGCAGGAAAAGGGAAAAAGTTACAATCGAGATATATAGGACCCTTTAATATACTCCAATGGATAGGAAAAGTGGCTTATCGACTAGAATTACCAGCTAGTTAGTCTCGGATTCATGATGTGTTTCATGTTTCTTTACTTAAGAAATATCATCTGGATCCGACTCACATTTTGTCACCAGAAGATATTGAACTGGACGAGTTTTTAGCCTATGAGGAACGACCCATTCGAATATTGGATAGGAAGGTAAAGGACTTGAGAAACAAGCAGATTCCACTGGTTAAGGTTCTATGGAAACACCATGAGATGGAGGAAGCAACCTGGGAGCTGGAGAAGACATGCAAGAGAAGTATCCCGAGTTGTTTATGACAAAAGATATGAATTTCGAGGTCGAAATTCTTTTAAGGGGGAGAGAGTATGAGGACGTGTAAAATCCCTTATATTTTCTTTAAAATTCCATTTTATTTGGAATTTATTCCTTTCTAATAGCCTTACTACTTATTCACCCTACAATAAGCGCAAACAAACATAGAATCAAGGGTTTTTCTTTGGTTTTCTCGTTAGCGTAAATTAGGGTTTTACGTCTTTTGGAAGTGTAATTATTAGGTACGGAGTGTGTATTAAATTTAATGATTCAATGCGATTTTTAGATGATATTAAGAGTGTGATTAGAAGTGAGAATAATAAGTTAGTGAATTATAAGATAAAACCCTAGTATATGCGAGTTAAGGAAAAACGGTGTGAACCGACGTGTACCGTTCACTACCGATTGAACACACCACTTGACCACCACTTCATTAACTTAATCCCATTGTTATTAGTGAAAAAATATCAGCCCTAATTATCCTAGAGAGAGAGCCAAAATTTTTTACTTAAAAAGAAAGGAAAAAGAAGAAAATTCAAGATCAAAACTTGTGTGGACACTTGGAGAACATCCAACTATCTTTGACCAAACTCAAATCCAAGCTTCTTATCTTTCTTGGACTTCAATCTTTCTTCATTTTGCAGCTATGGTGGCCGAACCTTGAGGGAAAAAAAACAAGAGAAGAAAACTTCATTTTATCTTGGGGCTTAGCTTAGTTTGAGTGAGAATCAAGAATCTAAACCGATTAATCTCTTAGTTGGGCACTTGGGAAGCTTGGTGTATCAAAGTTTGGAAGAAAATGTTGAGGTTTCTCTTGAAAGCATCTTTGGCAAGGTACTAAGGCTGGTTTTTCCATTTTGCTTTCCTTAAACTTGTTTAAGTTTGTATAGCAACTTAAATTCTTGGCTAATGATAGTTACCTAAGTAGTTTTGATGATTTTTGATGGATTTTGAGTTGGGGTTTCTATGGTTCAGTTGTATTCCTTGTTGTTTAGAGAGCATATAATGTCTATAATCTTGTATAAGAAGTTGAAGTAGTAGTTCAAGCTAGAAATGTGAAGGTTAGACCTTGAATGCACTAAATTCAAGATTTAAGGAGTGAAGCTGCCCTGTTCTGTCCAGCTTTATTTGTGTATGTTAGTGGCCGAATTAGGTTTAGGTTAAAACATGAAAGTTGTAGAAAATTGTGTTTTATAGCTGTCTGTAAAATTTCAGCTCGATCAAAGCACTATAGCATATGAAATGATCGAAATACCTGTGACTACCAAAAACCTCATTTTACGGACAGTTTTGAGATTTCACATGTTTGGCTTCGTTTTTCACTTTGATCCGTATCAAATCAGCCTTTAACCAAAACATGAAAGTTTTAACCCTATGTTTCAGCTTTCCAACGCATCTAAAACTGATTCAAACGGAATTGTGTAGCCTGAGTTATTGCCATTTGCATTCAGTACTGACGACCATACTGACAAGGACATTCTTGTTCTGCATTTTGCAAATTCGACCTAGATCAATTGTGAACTGGGTTAGGTTGTCTTCATGAAAGTTGTGACCCTTTGTATTAGCTTAGAAGTGGTATAAAATTCACCCCAATATCCAATAAGTGTAGCGTCGGTTGTGACCGAAACGCTAAGGGACGTCAAATCTGTTGTTTAGTTTTTGTTTTCAAAACTACTTTCCGATTGCCTTAGTTGACTTGTGTTATAATTGGATGATGTTGAAGCCTAACTGATGGGCTATGTTGGTAACATTACTTATGTCTGTTTTGGGGCTGAATTGAGAAAAATAATAAAGTCATAAATGATTGGAAACTAGGTAAACAAAACGGCCGTGCTGTCCAAATTTTCACTCAAGGGTTAGGTAGATTTACTCACGACTTGAGTAAGGGTTTGATGACGAATCGAACTTGAATTGTCTAGGGTATTCAAGTCTTGTTTCATAGAGATCTATAAATTAGCATTCAGCCGAAACTTATACCCTTGGAAAAATGAAATTTACGACTAATAAAATTATGTTTTCCCCATTTCTTCGACTCACATGGTATTTCAAAGTACAATTGCTTCAAAGTTTCACAGTTTGAAGAGCGAGCAAGAGTTTTACGAATATTCTCTAAATAAGTATATATTTTAAAAATACCTCTAAAAATAATTTTAAAAATATCTATAGTAAAAGTTTTTCATATACACAGTTACAATAAAGTTTTTAAAAAAATACCTAATCCAAATGGAGCCAATATTTCCATAATTCTAAGGATCCCTACATTTTTTTTTAGCAGATCCCTACAAATTGACTAAGGGATAGAAAAGAAAAGGGATTAGGAACAAATACAGTAAGCATCTAGACTTCTTATTTGGGACAGACCACAAAGTAAAACAGGCATGCCATTGGGTGCGCATGCGCTCACACAGAGAAGCAACCTGAAATGGCAGAAGTCACAAACCAACAATCCAACTAGCAGGGAAACCTCTCTCTGTAACATTTCCAAAGGAGCCAAAAATCGAATTCCTGAAACTGCCAAATTCTTAGCTCGCACACGACTTATTGGTCTGACAGATCTGGAAGCACCCATAGATTTGTACTCACCCTGTGTCAGATCAGTAAATGTCTGAATTTTCTTTTTTTAACCTATATTCTAAGTAATTAGCCCGAAAATGAGGGGCTTTAGTTCTAACTTCGTTACAAGGAGGAACTGTATTGTGTTGTGAACGGACACGGCTCGAAATCGAACCAGAATAGTTTGCCTCAATCTCGGCCATTCACTGCACAATGAGGTGTATATATATACTTATACATATATGTATATATATACATATAAACCTATATATGTTCGTAGAGTATAATATTAAATAGAGAAAGTAGGAATTTAAAAGGATCATCTTAGGCTATTAGCAGGTTCGTTGAGGATAATATTGTTTTGTTTTGAGCGGCCCACAATCATAAAGCCCAAGAATGGGATGTTACCAATTTAACTAGTTTTTATTGTTTCAACAATTTTGAACGGTTTTTATTGTTTTTCAATTTTGGCATATAATCAGAATGGAGTCGTGGTTAGTTCTTGGTTTAATTAGTCGAATTGGCCGATTCGATCCAAGTTAAACACTGATAAATGGAAAGTGAGAAAAGAGTTAAATCAGCCAAGTAAATTGATAAGAAGATTTGACATGCATCCGCGAGTTGCAAAGGAACCAAGTTCCTGAGATAATATAGCTATACCAATAAAAGGGATAACACATTGCAAATAAAAGGGTATTGATCAGAATAAAGACAGATGGATTCCCCAATAGAATAAAAAATTGACGAACTCTTCGACAAGGCCTTCCAGTTGCACATTTTCTTAGTTGTCAGTTTCTAATTAGACTGACAGTGCATTCCCTTTCTTGCAATAGTTTGGTTCTAGATGATATTCGACATAATCTCCATTGCATAACAATTACATCAAGATTGTTCTTTAATCCCTGCAGACTTAGTTCTTAATTGACCAAGCGAGATGCTCTTAAATAATGGAATGCGTTAAGAAAATACATAAAATTTTCAAGGTGGGGAGGACGTGCACCACGGGAATTATCTAAATTGTGCTGAGAGTTGGCTCGTTATGGCAGGGGTAAGTAGCTCTTGCACTTTCCATGTATGTTTACTCGATTGGTATGAAAGAAAAGATTTCAAATGCATATTTTGATACGAAATCGGCATGAGTATGGATATTTCCAAAGTTTGGATATATGGATAAATATGACTTGTTTACTCTAATTTGTATCTAGATTTCTAAATGCTTTAGTACCATGTATGTGTTAAGATCATAGTTTCTTTGTAAACTCGTAGATTGATTTTTTGTATTGTACTACTGATATTTACTGTTTTTTGATGAAAAGTATTAGTAGACTAACTTACTCAGACCAGTAGATGAGTACTTATATTACTTATTGAGTAAAGCAGTTGCTCGCCTTATTATTTAACACTTTTGCAGAGATTAGAGTCACTAAGGAAGCTTATGCCAAGGATTGAGGATAGCAATAGTTAATGGTAGAGCTGGCAAAAAAGCTCAAAACCCAACGACTCGCCCAATCCGCCCATTAATTTTAAAGGATGGGTTGGGTCAATTGGATTATGGGTTTTATTAGATTGGACAAGAACAACCCAACTTATTCATTGGGCGGGTTGGGTTTTTTATTTGGGTACCGATACCCAACTTGTTTGAAAGTAATTCAAAATAATAAATACAAGATTTACTACACATATACCCAACTATTTACATTTGGACATGTGTTAATAATTCATTAATTAATTTGTATTCAAAATTCTCATATATATATTTTCAATCATTTTTTTAAATTTTATTTAAAATAAAAAGAAATTTGAAATAAAAACTCATGCTTATTTTACTTTATAACAGTAGTTAAACTTACTCAACTTCTATAATAATTTATTATGCCTTTTAAG